CTTGGACAGAAAAATTGTAATTTAATTAAATTAATGAGTCAATCAGGCCAAATATAAGCATGACTATTATGGCATCAATTGTTTATCATATTTCTCAGGCTAGGTAATTGACATAAAGTTCTTCAAATATGCTCTACACAAGAAAGTAGTATGACTGTTCTATGAAAAATATGAAGTATGAAAGATATACTTTTGTATCTATCAATCAACTTTCAACCAGTGTAAGAACTTCAACATTACAAATACAGTTGACTGTATCCCTCACCCTTGCCCAGAAATAGTTGTGTGCATGTAGTTCTTTATGCCTGAATCCTTAAGTGATTAACATTCTGAATGTTTACTACTTTTTACCTTCCTTTATTTTTCTCAATGTTATGTTTGTAAGATAACATAGGTCACACAATTTATACAAATTTGTTGATTTATAGTATTTATTTTATCTAATGGATCTATCCTAATTTAATCTATTTATTCTCCTCTTGATGGATATGTAGGTTATTCCCAATTTCCAGCTTTCTCACCTCCCTTTCTTTTCTTTTTTTTTTTTTTTAATATATATTTTATTGATTTTTTTTTAAAGAGAGGAAGGGAGAGGGATAGAGAGTTAGAAACATCGATGAGAGAGAAACATCGATCAGCTGCCTCCTGCACACCCCCTACTGGGGATGTGCCCGCAACCAAGGTACATGCCCTTGACCGGAATTGAACCTGGGACCCTTGACTCCACAGACTGACTCTCTATCCACTGAGCCAAACCGGTTAGGGCCTCACCTCCCTTTCAAGAGGTATAATCACTCTGAATAAATAAGATCAATGATGATAATAAATTGGAAAGGAAATGTTTGCCTGTTTAAGAGAACATGATGTTTTAAGCAGTTTAGTACATACTTTTATATATGAAAAAAATGTAATAATTTCATATGCCTGGAAAACAGCACTATCTAGATAACATTGTATGGGAAATGTATACATAGATATTATTAATTTATTAAATCTGGACTTCTATGCAAAACCTGGTTAGCTTAGTCCCAAATGCAGAATTTACTAAAAATAAAATTTAACTTATTGTTCAATGCCTGTAATGTATACTTAAAATTACTTTAGAGAGCCTCACACATATATTACCCTATGCCAGTGGTCAGCAAACTCATTAGTCAACAGAGCCAAATATCAACACAGTACAACGACTGAAATTTCTTTTGAGAGCCAAATTTTTTAAACTTAAACTATATAGGTAGGTACATTGTTATTAACTTAATTAGGGTACTCCTACGGCTTAGGAAGAGCCACACTCAAGGGGCCAAAGAGCGCATGTGGCTTGCGAGCCGCAGTTCGCCGACCACTGGAGGGCATACACTGTCCCTGAACACTAATTTACTCTATTGAATGAGTCCACATATGTGAGAAGAAAACTCTCAAATCTACCCCTTCAGTCATAACTCCTCTCCCAAGCACAGACCCCATATTGCTCCCAGCATGAACTGAGTGAATGGATAGCTATTTGGGTGATTGGGTGAAGGAGCTGAATGAGATGTTATTGACTTCTAAAATTATCAGAGGCCTATTAAACGCCAAATATATAGGGATTAGCTACGCATTAGTATAGTTTCCATATTATCTATTCACTTTGATCAAATATCTAGACCCATGAGCAGACTCTAACTCAACATTTTTTAAAAATCTGTTCCATGAACATTAGCTCAGCAGAATATAATAAATATTACATACAATTTTGAAGAAATGGTTTTAATCAAATAAATTTGGGAAACAGAGGCTTAAACAAACACAAATGTATTGTTTTACTACAGAACCCCTCAAGTACTTTACTATAGTAATATGCATTGTGATTTTCTAACATTTTTTGGACCTAAGACTATTTTTTAACTATTGTTTCATTTTGTTTTGTTTTAATTAACAGCATTTCTGAGGACTAGCATTCAGACTAATGTACTTTAGTAGGCACTGGTCTAAACAATGAAGAAGGAAATTTTGTTGATAAAATGGTCCCCAAATAATGTATCAATTAGACTATGACCCATTCATTATACATGCTCTTCAATAGATTCCTCACTCTTATTGTTTCTGCAATGGTAGTATTATGAGTACACTGCTTTGTTAACTCAGCAAGCCAAGAGTCGTAGTTAATGGGTTAGCACAGTGGTCGGCAAACCGCGGCTCACGAGCCACATGCGGCTCTTTGGCCCCTTGAGTATGGCTCTTCCACACAATACCACGTGTGGGCGCACATGTACAGTGTGATTGAAACTTCGTGACCCATGCGCAGAAGTCGGTTTTCGGCCTGGGCGAGTCTATTTTGAAGAAGTGGCGTTAGAAGTGGGGGTGTGGGTCGGTCGGCCGACAGGAGACGTGGCGCAGGCGGGCCGCGGGATACACAGCACGGGGGAGGTACATTGTTTTGAGGTACGTTCACTGAGGTCGACCCCTTCCAACTCTCCCATCCACACTCATCTATCTGAAACAAGTATACAAGACGAGTGTGGATGGGAGAGTTGGAAGGGTCGACCTCAGTGAACGTACCTCCATCAGATTGAGGACGTTTTTAGCAAAGGCCAGCTTAAGAGTGCCCTAATTAAGTTAATAACAATGTACCTACCTATATAGTTTAAGTTTAAAAAATTTGGCTCTCAAAAGAAATTTCAATCGTTGTACTGTTGATATTTGGCTCTGTTGACTAATGAGTTTGCCGACCACTGGGTTAGCACCTCTGTCGCTGAAGGGTTCCATTCTAAATTGGGATCTCAGCCCAATCCTGGATCCAATAGCTGAATTTTCTCACAGCAGGTGGAGTGATTACTTTCACAAACTGCCTTTTTTACTCCCTCAATATATGCAGGCTATGAAATGTCTCTTTTAGAACCCAGATGCACAGAGCTAAGACTGTTGCCTCAAAGGGACTGTTTGCAAATTGGGAGCTTAATGCAGTCCACAGGTGGGACAGGCATAAGGCTCTGCGCTGGCTTCCTATGTCCCTGCTGTGGTGCAGGAATCAGCTGAAGCCACTGCTGGAGCTCTTGTTAGCCTCAACTCACTCAAATGGCACTTTCCATAAAATGCCCTGGGCAGTTTGTTTTCCATGAAAGAGCTATAATAACCTGTTCCACCAAACCCATCTTGACCCCCTTCCTTCCTTCTAATGAAATTAGTTCTCACTTGTGCTGTTTGATCGTGTTAGGCACACATTAAAAGTATACAAAGAATCTACACTTTTCCACTGATAAAATCATCCGTCATTATACATTTAGTTTAGATGAAGTGTTCTTAATCAAACTCTCTTATTCTTGTCCCAAAGGAAAGGAATTTGCATTTTACAAAAACCTCTGACACAACCACATTTGTTTTATTTATGGAGGTAAGGGCATCTCTGATTACTTTCATGTTTCTCTGTTCAGAAAAGGTAGAGCCATTTGTCAAAATAAAGCTTATGCAGGGCATGCCCTTTTCAGACCTTTTCTTTTTAGATTGGTTTGAGGATTTTTCCCTGGAATATCCTACATTAGAATACTCTCTAGTTCTATGACATTAGGGGAACTAGTTTGCCATTTGAAACCTAATTTTTTTATACCAAAAGGAGGTTAAATAATAATGCCGAACTCTATATAGTGGTCAGTTGGATTAAGTAATATGTGTCAAGCTCTTAGCATAAAGCAACTGCTCCATAGTGGTAGCTATTTTACTACTTTTTAAATTTACCAAAATGTTACTAATGGCTATTTCTAGGTGAGGGGGGGAAGACGGTCTTTCTGTTTGTTATTATTTTATGGTTTTATCACAATATCAATATATATAAAAGCCTAAGTGACCATTTGACCAGTAGCTATGATTCATACTGACCATCAGGGGGCAGATGCTCAATGTACAGGCATGTAAACATGCAACAGACTTGATGAGATTCCTCTCAGAATCTCAGAGGAAAGGGGGGAAGGGGGGAAGGCGGGAAGAGATTAAACAAAGATCTTATATGCAAAATAGAGGCCCAGTGCATGAATTCATGCACCAGTGGGGTCCCTCAGCCTGGCCTATGGGTATCAGGCAGAAACCAGCAGTCCGACACCCCCTGAGGGTCCTGGATTGTGAGAGGGCGCAGGCCAGGCCAAGGGACCCCACCAGTGCACAAATCGGTGCACCAGGTCTCTAGTATAATATATGCAATGTAAATGAACATGACTTTAACACAGTATGTATTTAATTACATAAAGAGTATATGAAAAAACATATATATTTACATGATATATATTCCTATCTTTTCCTTCCTGTCTCTAAACAAGTTTTATTTCTGATAACATTGATTCGCTTTCATTGGACTCAAATGAGATAAAGAAGGCAAATAGTGTTATCTTTTTGGCACAGAGGAAGAACATATGACTCTGAAAAATCCTCCAGGGGAATGCAGCTAGTCGATGTCATACTGACACTTGAACCCAAATTTCTAATTTGAAGTTCATTGTTAATTCTCAAGACTAAAAGAAAAAAACATACTAGACTTACCTTTCTTGGAATAATATGGAAAAAAAAATCAACTAAGTATTACAAATAATGAAGAGATTCCTGAATTCAAGGATTATATTAGCATTTTCTCTACTTTTTTCCCTTCTGGCTTTGATGTATGTCTAAAGTAAAAGCTCTCTTAGCCACTAGTACATGCCTAGTTTTTAACTGCTTCACTTAGAGTGCAAGCACCTATAACTGGACCAGACATGTTGTTTATTTAATAATATAGTTTATTAGCTTGTTTTGAGAGTGAGCATTGATTTAGGGGTCTTTATAATATTTCCAGAACTCCAGAGAAACCATGATACCTTTCTAAATTTTAGATTACATAAGACTCTGAGGTCAATGAAAAGCTTTTTGGTACCTTTGGAGCAGAAACTGGGTATCCTTTGTTTTAAATCATTAAGAAGATTCAAACATACTTTATGCTAATTTAACCATGGAAATATAAAAGCAACTGAATTTCCTCCTCTTTTTCTTTCCTTCCACAGCTTAAAGGGAGCTGACGCTGGCAATGGGATCAGAGTGTTTGTGCCTGATATTGGGATGTTCATCGCTAGTCTGGCCATCTGGCTCATCTGCAGAAACATCGTTCAGAAACCAGTGACAGAAGAAGCAGCACAGTATAACCTGGAGTTTGAAAATGAAGAACTGGTAAATCTGACTTCATAAATCTTCCTTTGATTTCTGAGGGCCTTGACCCTTAACAGGAGTGGAAGTGGAATAGTCATAGCTACATGTGCATAGTGCTGTATGCTTTACTGTGCTTGGCTTAAACCTGTGTGGTCCTGATGGGTCTGCATTCTCATCAACACCTTGTCTACGAGGAGACAGGTGTAGGGAATGAAAGTGTCACCCTTCTTGACATTCATCCCCTATGGCCAGGGCTTGACCCAGTGTCCTGTTCACTCCCCCAAACTCTCATCTAATATTAGCTCAGATGGTTAACCTTTCACGGTTCATAGTACTATGGTCCATTGGTCTAGGTACCTAGGTTATTGCAAAATATTTAGAGAAGTAGTAACACCTGGTAGTTTTAGGAGAAAAACAATTAATTTCACCTTTAAGGGAAGCTTTTCGATCTGTGTACCTGTGCTCTTCAGGGAAAAGTGATGTAAATGAAGCGTGCTTTGGTCAAGTTATTTTAAAGTTCTCTAGAGAAAATAGATATGCATTTGAAAAAGTATAAGAATTTTTTAAAGGCAAAAACAAAACAAAACACTGAGTACCATGTATGGTAACTTTGAGCTATGGTTTTTTAAGGAGAAGGGTTTCAGGAGTAACTACTGAGTCAGGGAACATGTCAGATTTCACTCCTTGGTGAATGATGCTTATCAGATAACATCTTACACTGTCCCCCAACCAGTGTCTGCTCCTTTGGGTTCCTTAGTAAAATGCTACTTGCTCCTCATTTTGCTCTTTTCCAATTTGAGAGGCAGTAGAGCAGTTTTTAAAATTTCAAACCCAGGGTCCTCTTAGGATAATAGAAAGTGAAGTTGTATGGTATGAGTTGAGGCCAACCCACTCAAAGAAACAGTCCTTTTTGTGCCACTTGTGGCAGACAAGCATGAATAAATTACAAAGCTTCTTAGAGAAAGAACTTCCGCCTCCAGGGTCGGATGCTCTTTTCCCAGCGGACAGGGAAAACCTACATTGACCAACAGAAGGATGGATGTTAGGTTACAGTTAAGTTCATGCATTTAGTGAAGAAGGGACTCAAATCTATTACAAAGACCAATTCTAAAATCAAGTTTGTGTCCTGGTTACACCCAATTCTCAAAGACAGACTCATGGTACCTCTCTCCCACTTGAGATTTGTTTAACTATCTGTGCCCCATCTATTATTAACCATATTATTTAATGATAATAAGAGGGATGAGTATTCTAAACATTACTTATTTGGGGCTTTGAAAATACTGTCATTTATTATGAGGCTGATATCCTCTCAGTTAAATTGGCTTTGGCCTAATTTAGATATTAACTTGTATTTTCTTAGCATATTTCTGCCTACCAGGTGGCCTGGGAGGAGCAGGCTAGAGTGTGAATCTTCTAAGATAAACCCACAAGGAAATTTTTTCTTGCATGTGAACAATCTGTCTTGATTCTGAAAAGAATAGAAGAACACGGCCAAAATACACAGGGGAATTTATTTTATTCTGAAGGGCCCCACATACTTCCTGTTGCTTATAAATCTTGGCTTTTGCACTCTGGACTGTTTAGTTTTTGGAGGATCCTTTGACAGAATAGTGTTTCTTGGCATTGTTTCTTCTTTCATTTATCTCAGTAGAGAAATGGCAAGATTAATCCACTGGTGCCTGGGAGAATTCCTTTTCAAATCCAGCATTGTTTTAAAGTAGCAATTAATCCCTGGAGAGGACTCTTAAATCTCCCCTAATCTTCATGGGCTTGATGATGAGCTCAAGTTTGCTGTTTCAAAGGGCATCACAAATCCAAGGGTCCCCTGGAAAACCCTGGGTGAGGTGGAGACTGACAGCAGGTGGGAGACTGACTTGCTCTTGCATTGGACAGAGAGCAGACCTCAGTAAGGGAACCAATTCCTCATTGCCATAGGAGGTTCTGTTTCATCCGACTCCTCTGTGGTCCTGTTGGTTTGTTCATTTTAATTTATAAGCACATCTAAAAATCAGAACTGGGAGAAAGATTCCTATTCCAAAATCTTTAAAAAAAAATGAGTTAGGTTATGAAAAGTAAATTGTGTAGAAGAGGGTTCCCTGTGCAATGAAACACTATGTAATTTCACCAAACTGATACTGATCTTGTATATTTCTATACTTCTAACTTTATTTAGCTATTTAATGAGATTTCAGCCTTCTTTATGAAGCAAATGCTATTTTAATATAATGTTAAACCAAATTTATAAGGTCTATTTATATAAGAATTTTAGTCATGACTTGGTGTGTTTAAAGAAAAATCTTCTAAATAGTCTAACAAATCAAATATGAAGGACAACAAGAATATTCCAGTATAAGTCATCCACCAAATGTTAAAACTTCAGGAATGCAACATTTTGGTCCTGCTAATATCATTTGGAAATTTGTTCTGAATCTCAAAAACTGCACTAGCCTTTCCAATACCCAATGTCCATTAGGCAACTGTGGCACCTGCATTGTGCCACATCTGATGACCAGCTGGGCAGTGTCTCAAAGTTTTAGCTTTGAGATTCAAGTTATTATTTTTTTTAAAAGAAACAAAGAATGGAAGAAATCGACCTTTTTATTGTTGCCTTCTAATTAGGCATTTGGCATTTGCTCAGCTCTCCCCTGAGATTTAGTCCAAAGTCACCGGCTTTAAATTTTCTAGATCCTGTGTTTTCAGACATAATAATCTGAAACATGGAACTATTCAGAACAATAAGAAGCTGGACAGCTGCCCAGTTGCCCTGCAAACCTTGCACTCCATTACTTTTACTGCCTCTCAGGATCATTCTCAGAAACTGGGCAAGAATCACTGTCATATGTCCCCCAAAAGGCAGCACACTTGGTCTGCCTTTTCTGGGTTAAACCCATTCATAATCAGGGTGTAGCTTTTAATTCTAGTGATTTTAGATGCCATTAATTTAAATACAGGAACATTTTTTAAAAATATATTTTATTGATTTTTTACAGAGAGGAAGGGAGAGGGATAGAGAGTTAGAAACATAAATGAGAGAGAAACATCGACCAGCTGCCTCCTGCACACTCCCTACTGGGGATGTGCCCACAACCAAGGTACATGCCCTTGACCGGAATCAAACCCGGGACCCTTCAATCCACAGGCTGACGCTCTATCCACTGAGCCAAACTGGTTAGGGCAGGAACATTTTTGATTGCAGAAAATCATTGTCCCACTGTCTTCAAGAAAGCTTCATTATTACAGTGTGAATGTCACTGAGTATTTATTAGAGTGACTGACTTTGTAGCCCACAATGTCTACATCGCACTGGACGTAAGGTGAGAGCATGGATTCCCACTCACCCTTTCTTCTGATAATGCACACCTGGGAGCTTACCAACGTGACAGCCAGTCAAGGGCAGCATTGTCACACAGAAGGGCAGGGATGTTATCATTATTTTAAATTTTATTTTTAAATTACAGTTTACATTCAACACTACTTTGTATTAGTTTCAAGTGCACAGCACAGTGGTTAGACAATCACATACTCTGCGCAGCGATCTCCCACCTGACACATACATCGTTGATGCAATATTACCAACGCTCTTCGCTATGCTGTACTTTACATTCCCATGACTGTTTTGTGACTCTCAGTTACTACTTCTTAATCCCTTTACCTTTTTCACCTGATTCATAACCCCTCATCCCTCTGGCAACCATTAATCTGTTCTCTATACCTATGAGTCTTTTTCTATTTTGCTTATTCGTTTATTTTATTCTTTAGAGTGAAATCACATAGTATTTATCTTTCTCTGTCTGACCTATTTCACTTAGCATAGGACCCTCTAGGTCAGTGGTTCTCAACCTGTGGGTCATGACCCCTTTGGCGGTCAAACGACCCTTTCACAGGGGTTGCCTAAGACCATCCTGCATATCAGATATTTACATTACGATTCATAACAGTAGCAACATTACAGTTATGAAGTAGCAACGAAAAGAATTTTATGGTTGGGTCACAACATGAGGAACTGTATTGAAAGGGCCAGAAGGTTGAGAACCACTGCTCTAGATCTATCCATGCTGTCAAAATGGTATGATTTCATTCTTTTATGGCCAAGTAATGTTTCATTGCATATATGTACCACCACTTTTTTATCCACTTGTCTATTGACGAACACTTGGGCTGCTTCCATATCTTGGCTATCTATAATAATAAAAGCATAATATGCTAATTAGACCAGGCATCCTTCTGGATGTCCTTCCGGATGACCTTCCAGATGAAGCTGGGGCTGGGGAAGCCTGGGTCCCGGGTGCCAGAGGGAAGCCGGTGCCGGCAGCCAGGGGAAGGAAGGCCTACTCTTGCACAAATTTCATGCACTGGGCCTCTAGTTGTAAATAACACTACAATGAACACATGGGTGCATATATTCTTTCAAATTAGTGTTTTGGGTTTCTTTGGATATATACACAGAGGTCGAATTGTTGAGTATAATGCAGTTCCATTTTTTTATTTTTTGAGGAACCTCCATACTGTTTTCCATAGTGTCTGCACCAATCTGCATTCCCACCAACAGTGCACAAGGGTTCCCTTTTCTCCACATCCTCACCAACACTTGTTGTTTGTTGATTTATCCTAGAAGAAAACATAGGCAATAAAATCTTGGACATTTCTCATAGCAGTATTGTTTTCTGACATATCACCTCAAGCAAGGGAAACAAAAGAAAAAAATAAACTAATGTCACTACATCAAACTAAAAACTTCTTTGCACAGCAAAAGAAACCATCAACAACATGAAAAGACAACCCACTGAGTGGGAGAGCAGATTTGCCAAGGATACATCTGATAAGAGATTAATATCCAATATTTATAAAGAACTCATACAATTCAACACCAAAAAAACCCAAACAACCCAATTAAAAAATGGGCAAAGGACCTGAATCGACACTTCTCCAAAGAGGACATACAGATGGCCAATAGACATATGAAAACATGCTCAAGGTCACTAATCATCAGAGATTGCAAATTAAAACCACAATGAGAT